TCTTCCAGACATCTCCCCGCCTTTGTCCAAAACCACTGTGCCAAGCACTGAGGTAGGGCACAGGGTAAGATAAATATCCATAGACTAGGGGCCCCAGTGAGGAAAAGTAAGTACAAGAGCGTGGCCTTTCTAGTTCGAAAGTGCCCTTGGGGCCACTAGCTCAGTAAAGCACTGCTCTGCAAGGTCATGTCATGTGGGAAGGTTCCTGATTCAAGTATGGAGGCCTCCCTGGCACGCATGTCCACAATTTGAGGCTGGCCAAAGGCTAGAGGTGGGCTGCAGCACTGAGACCCTGGGGGTGCTGTCTCTGTCTCTCTCACACTCATGGAAGAAATAAACTTTTAAAAAGTTAAGGGAACCGGATCCCGCATGGCCAACCACGTGGCTCAAATCCCATCTCCAGCAGCTTGAGAAACAAGTCAGGCAGTGTGTGTGCACGTGCAAAGTCCCGACAGGACAGAAAACCGGAGGAGGGATGCAGCATGGTCGTTCCCCCTGAGGAGGTGCTTTCTCCCATGCCTCTCTGTCTCTCTCTGGGGAGTACATGTGACCTCTGGCAAATAAAGATTTACAAAAATAAACCACCGGGGGCCAGTGTGCTTTGATGGTGCCACTGCCCTCGGGCCTGCTGTGGAGCTCCCCTCCTGTCACCTCGTGCTTTTCCCAAAGACGACAGATGTCATCTTTAGGCAGTGTGCCCGCGAGCAGGGCTTGACATGTCAACGTGTCCCCGAGACAGTGTTACTCACTTCATCAGCTTCTGCTTGGTGGCGGACTCTTTGAAACTTCTGAACTCTTCTCCTGCTTTGATCTCGTAGAACTGCGGCTTCAGCACCGTCTGCTGGTCCTCCCTGAGCCGCTCCCGCCGCTTCAGTCTTTCCTCCTGCTGGAGGAGTCTGCGCTGCTTCCTGACCTCCTCCACCCAGCCCTTTTCATCGTCCGAACTCTCCGAACTTTCTGCATCACTCGGTTTTCCTTCCGGTTCTTCCTCCTCTTCCTGAAAATAACAATAGTGAGCAGCAGCACCTTTCCCCGACCCTGGCCCGCTATTCCTTCTCAATGCAGCCGCCCCGGAGCGCCTGACGGCGGCCAGCACTCACGCAAGGCCTCGCATTAACAGGGCAGCTCCTGAGCCGGAGGGCGGAGGGCGGAGGGCGGGTGATCAGTCGTAATTAACAACAGCAGGAGCAGCACCACAGCCCTCCGACCTTCAGGAACTTCGAACTTCGCACCGAAGAGACAAGACTCAGCTCTGAATGAAAAGGAGTGCGTTACCTTTTCACGAAGTTCTTGTTGCTCTAAGAGTCTTAGTTTCTTCTTCCTTTTCTCACTAATTTTTGACACGAGTGGATTCAAAAGCCGAAATTCTTCACTCTCCTCATCCACTTGGAAGTCGGGGTTCTCAAACATGACTTTAAACCGATCATCGGTGAGAATACTAGGAAGGTTCTGTGAGAAAAAGAGGGAAAGTACACCATAATTTCAAGGTGGTATTTGAATAAAATGTGACTGGAAAGATGGCTTTAAAACACCCACTCTGTTCTAAATTAATAAGCTGCATAAGGTGTAAATTATTAACTCATTACGACATCTCTTTAGCACTAGCTCCCAGAACTTTCTATTGTAACTGCCCCCAGGTTTTATCTCCCAACAACGAAGTAAATTTTATTCACCTACTACTGCCTCACAGACATTCTGTATTCTTTGGCCATTATCCATAGTGAGTTGAAAATTAGCCTTTTGGGCTAAGTTTATACTTAACACACTAGAATTTTCTGCAATCAATATTTTTAATACAGAAAATTCTAAGCTTTTGAATCTTGGCTTTTAAAAGTGTAGCTATGACACTGAATGGAGATAAGCAAGTCTCAACGCCAAATTCCAGACCCGGGAAAGGACACACGTCGGCAGCAAGTGAACGATCTCCCCCGTGGGGTTCGGGGAGGTGGGCTGTGGGTTTACCAATCCCACTGAGGTACTCGGAAAGCAGGGATCTGCCACCCCATGGGATCGCCAGTCCCCTCTCGTGCCGTTTAGCGTATCCGTCGTGTATAAAACTTCGGCCCCTGACGCGCCTGGCTAGCTCCGGGCTGACATGGACCTCCCTATCTGCATCGTTTCTGAACTGTTCCCTAAAATGTAAGCGTACTGGGGGTGACGGAGAACTCACACACTTAGGGGTCTCTTAGTGACCCTATCTGCTGCCAGCTCAGAACCCAGACAGAAAGCTTAGAGTGGGCTGTGAGCGGCCCTCCCCACGGCCGTGCAATGGGCTCCAGCCCTCGGAACAGAGGACTCCCCGGACCGCTTCTGCACTAGGAGCGAGCAGGGCTGGAAGCAGCTGAGTTCTCAGTGCTGTATGTGACAGATTTACAGACCCTGAATAAAACACACTTCAAGGAATTTGGTGTGTCTACTATTTGCAAATCTGTAAAAGTTAGGAAGTCTTACCTAACATTCTATGAGAGACTGAATTCAACGAGTCTTCCCCGATTAAATATCATTTCTAAGACGGACTCAGGACCAAGAAACAAACACAGGCACGATCCAGTTTCTGACCAGAGGGGGAGAGACAAACTGATAGGAACCGCAGGCACCCCAGTGACCCACGAAGGCGCCTGGCAGGTGGGGCGCTCCCGACGTCACGGGCAGCAGCACAGCGAGGGACATCCCGGAGCGGGACGGGCCCAGCATCGGGAGGAGACCTGAGAGGGAGGAGGCCTCAGGGGCAGAAACGTAAGAAGCTGGAGCTGGCGGAAGGGCGGCCAAGAGCCTGCTGACTGAGGACGGCGTCGTCTGAGAAAGCGCTTCTGCCAGGGCAGCTGGTAGAGGAGCTGAAACACCACGAGTGGAACTCCAAAGATGAGGGGAACCGCTAGAAATGAGGAAGGGGCAGGGTGGTGGGAGAGGAGGAAACGGATGACAGACGCCGACAGGCCACGCCAGGTAGCCCCTGGCACTGAGTCCACACCCCAAGTCCCAGGCACGTGTCCTGAGCGCTCCCCGCTGTGTGTGAAGGCTGGGTGGCATGTGGTGTGAAGACCCTGGTAGTGGTGTCTGTCTACCTCTCTCAGGGAAGAAATAAATAAGTAAACTGTACCCCCAAAAAAAGAAAAAAGAAAAAGGCTCTCGGATGACAAACCAAACTGCGCTCCAAGAGGCCACCACAGCAGAAGTGCACTGGACTCCCGAGGCACAAACTGGAGTCCCAGGAGGGCTGGGAGGCCACTCCAGGAACCGGGAAAGAGACAGGGCCTGGTGAGGGCAGTGGGGACCAATGCTTTCCAAGAGAGAATCAGCAAGACACTTTTCTAAACCAGAGCTGCGAGATCTAGCCGTGGACGAGCTATGGGGGCGAGGGCGGGCAGTGACAGTTAGAGACGGGGCTAGGAACGTGAGTGTCTGGCTTCAGTGACTAGAAAGCTGCTGGTCCCAAGTTCCCGCCACCGGAGACGCAGCAGGAGAAGGCTGTGGGTGCAGCGAAAGGCAAAAGCTCTGCCCTGCTTAGGACGAGTGAGGTCCAGGCCCCGATTCTGAGGACACCGGAGGCGCCACAGCAGTGGGCTGGGCTTCGGAGAAGGGCCGGGGCTGCCACGAGGATTCTGAAGTTGTCTGTGGATATGGGGTAGGTGAGGTTGCCAAAGGGGTATTTTCGAAAGAACAGCCATGTGCCTGCTGCACATGAGCAGGTTACACACGCACACGCATACACACATGTGTGCACATGCACACGACCAGGGGCAGTGGCGGTACAGCAAGGACATTGCTCTGTACGGCTGACCACGTGGACGGCTCTGGGCTTGCCTTGGAAGGCCCCCGTGAATACACCAGTACATGCCTGCCTGCGTCCCGGGCTGGCCTGAGCTGGGGAGGGACTGGGGCGGGAAGACCCTGCTGGGGGTATTCTCCTCCTTATGTAAAAATGAAAAAAAAGATTCCCCCCCTTTTTAAAAAAAAAAAAAAAAAAAAAAAAAAAAAACCCCAAGAACTATCTCACTGTACTTACTAGAGTAATAATAATATTTAACAAATAAGGGACCAGCCGGCAGCGTGGTGGCTATGGCACTGAACTCCCACATGGCCGACCATGCTTAAAGTCCCAGACCGGGAGGCTCAAAACTCACACCTGTGAGTACACAAACTCCAGGAAGAGAAGGACTGAGGTGTGGCCATCCTCGGGGGACATGGTGGGTGATTTCTCACTCTCTCTTTTTCTCTCTGTCTCCCTGGTGAGCAATTATGCCCTATAACCAAAAATCAATCTCTCTAAAAAAACAACAGGACAACATCTAAAGAATGTGTTGCTAGTGGGACCAGCATATGGCATAATGGTTATGTCACTGGACTCCCACGTAGTCAACTGCAGTTCAAGTCCCGGACCCAGTGGCTTAAACTCACACTGGGGGTGTGTGCGTGCGTGCCCAAGATCCTGAGAGGAGGATGGGAGAGAAGGGACTGTGGTGTGGCCATCCTCCCTGGGGAATGATTTCTCATTTTCTGTCTTTCCGGTGAGCGTATGCACCTTGTAGCAAAAAAACTCTCATCAAAAAAGAAAAGAAAACAAACAAAAAAACACAGGTTGCTGGTATTCTTGCCTTTTTTTTTTTTTCCCTAATTTTGCTACACGGTGCATGTGCTCACTGGAGAGACAGAGAGAAAGAAAGCAACCCCCAGAGGGGATATACTATGCCACAATCCCTTCTCCTCTCAGGACTTTGGGCATGTAAACACATGTGCCCAGGTGTGCCCGGCCACTGGGTCGAGGACTGAATCACACAGTCGGCCATGCGGGCTCCAGCTGCCTTAACTACCATGCCACCAGTTGGCCCTGTTGCTGTATTCTTCTTGTTATTTTTAAAAATTTAAAACAAATACATTATTGCATTGCCTAAAGATAAGTATGGTTGAGATGAACAATTATAAAATAAAAACTCTTTGACCCGGTTGTAAAAGTATTTCCCCCAGGGATTTTCCCTGGTCTAATGGTTTGTTTCCACAGCTGTCTTCGCTTCGGTAAGGGCTAGTTACTAACGTCCTATGCTCATTTACAAGTGTCTGGCTAGTAGCCTGCCCTATAAACACACGCACATGCAACGCTCAGCATTAGAACACGGAACCATCTGCGAGTGCTCTTCACACCACGGCCCTACCCAAAAGCTACCCTGCCATTCTGAGTACAACGCTCAGCATTAAAATTTGTCCCAACAGACTAAAACACACGAGGGTGCTTGACATTTAGAACTAATTCTTTCGGGACCAGCAGGTGGCATGGGGGTAAGGTGCTGAACTCCCATATGGCAGACCATGGCTGGAGTCCCAGACCCGGTGGCTTAAATCTCACATGTGTGCATATGTGCCCAAGATCCCAAGAGAAAAAGGGACTGTAGCCTGGCCATCCCCCAGGGGGTAACTTCTCACTTTCTCTCTGTCTCTCCAGTGAGTGCACGTGCCCCATAGCAAAACTTTCTTAAAACAACAACAAAACGCTACTTCTTTCAATGCTACGGTGTCTAAGGAACCGAGCTGATGTGGACTTCTGAGTAAAGATGACAGCTTGAACACAAGCGTCTCCTAATTGCTCCCCAAGTCACAGCAGAAGAGTAGGAAGGGGGCTTTTAAACAGACACACGGGATGAAGAAAGGCAACAAGAGTCACCAAGTTTGGAAGCAAGAAGGGAAGTCTTTTAGAGACCTCACCTCAGCTCTGGGCCAGCCCCGCCCCTTCCTACTGAGGAGGGAGACGGGGACCTGACGAGACAGGGACCTGACGGGACGGCACTGTCAGAGCCAGGCCACGTGGTAGGAACAGGGAGTGGACCTGCATCCCAGCTCACGCGACCTCAGCAGCCGGTTCTGAGTGTAGGTGACAAGGCCTTCACCCTCCAAGCAGGAGGATCTGGCCTGCCGAGAGGAGGACACGAGGCACTGGAAAGTGAGCTTCCCAAGTGGACAGTCTGGCCAGGCACTGCCCACTGACCGAGGGACCCCTCGGCCTTTAACTCCCTCACTCTTCATTATGAAGATGTAATCGAGAACTGTGGCAGGAAAAGCCAATTATAGTGTTCTCAAGAAAATCTCTAGCACCGGAGAATCAGTTTTCGGACCAGAAGTCTCCTCTGGGTGGGTTTCGAGGATGCCTCCTCTTTCTGGGCCTACTCTCATCTCAGAGGAGAAAATCCTCAGTACCATCCTGAGGGAGGGCAGCATCAGGTGGCTTTGTCACTGCACGGTTGGAGGGTCTTTCCTGTGTCCCCGCTCTGACTGGCAGCTTGTCTGGGCTGAGGAGACAGGTTGGAAGCTGAAGGCTCTTACCATTCTCTGTCCAATGTGGGAGTGAGGAGAATGAATCCCCAGGAAAATAAAGGAAATCCCAGGATGAAAGGTGACCAGTCCAGATCAGAGAGGGACAAAAAGATCTACAAGGATTTCTTCAGGAAGGGGAAGTTAAC